CATGACCACATCTTGGCAGGTCACTTTGGTCAAAACCGGACATTAGAACTAGTCCGGCGGAACTACACCTGGCCAAAGATGCGTGAATATGTCCGACACTATGTTAAGTCCTGCACAGTTTGTGGGCGCAACAAGGCACCCAGACACCGCCCCTATGGGTTACTGAAACCTCTGCCAGTTCCTGAACGGCCATGAGATTCCATTTCCATGGACTTCATTGAACAACTACCGGACTCCAATGGATTCACCGCCATCTTAGTAGTCATAGACCGAGCTAGCAAGCAAGCCATCTTCATTCCCACTCATGACACCATCAACTCCGTGGAGCTCGCCCAACTTTTCCTTATCCATGTATTCTTCAAACATGGGGTACCCAGTCACATCACATCCGACCGTGGCTCCGAATTCGTCTCCCAATTTACTTGCGCCTTAGCCGTGGCCCTTGACATGGAACTCCACCTTACCTCTGGTTATCATCTGGAGGCCGACGGCCAAACTGAATGAGCAAACCAAACTCTGGAACAATACATCCGCATCTACTGCTCCTACCAGCAGGACAACTGGGACACCCTCTTACCCATTGCTGAATTCACCTACAATAATGCCCCTAACGCGTCCACCGGAATTTCCCCATTCTTCGCTAACAAGGGTTACCACCCCAACATCACCGTTCACCCTGAAAGGGACATCGCCTCCGCCCAGGCCGGAGATTTCGCAGTCAACCTTGACGAACTCCATCAATTACTGAAGGATGAAATTTCCGAAGCTCAGTCTCGCTACAAGACCCAAGCAGACAAACATCGGATTCCGGCACCTCCGTTCACAGTAGGGGACAAGGCCTACCTCAGCTCCAAACATATCAAAACCACCCGCCCAACCAGAAAATTTTCGGAAAAATACCTTGGTCCTTTCGAAATCATAGCCCAACCTGGTACCCACTCCTTTACCCTGAGTCTTCCGCCGGATCTCCGGTCCATTCACCCCGTCTTCCATGTGTCACAATTGGAACCCATAGAAGAAAACACCATTCTTAACCGAATCCAACCACCACCGCCTCCAGTCGAAGTCGACAGAGAAGAACATTTCGAAATAGCCCAAATCCTCGACTCTAAACTGGACCGCCGGTTCCACTGCCCACTGCTGTACAAAATCCAGTGGCTAGGATACGAAGGTACCAGTGAAGAGTTTGCTTGGTTACCGGCCTCCGAGTTCTCCGCCGACGAATTTATTGAAGAATTCCATCATCGATACCCAGGCAAACCAGGACCCTTGTCCAAAGTCATTCAAACATCCCATTCCTAATACAATACTACTCTGGACACCACCAGCCCCCACCTTACCATTTCAATCACTTTTACACTTTCAAAATCGAAATCTTGTATTTACATTTCTTTTCTCCACTACCAACAATCCTCCATGTGGCCCCACCGGCCATCGGGATCAGCGCTCTTGAGGGCAAGAACGCTAAAGGGGGGATACTGTTACACGCATGCCGCCGGCCTCCGTGTCACCTCAACCAACCATGAATTCTATCACGCTAATCACCGGACTCCGGCCGCTTTCCATTACCTACTAATTTCATTTCACCATTATCATTTCACATCTGTATTTCACATTGTAATACCTAGACCCCGAACTCGGTAGCGAATATTCACACCGGAACCCAATGGAACCCGACTCAGAATTAGCTACCATTAGTATATAAAGCCATGTATATCACCGTAACTACTCAGTTCGAATATCAACTTGGATAAGCCATCTACACTTCGTACTCACTCCTCCCTATCTCATCCGTCGGATTCCACTCCGAAGGATACTCCTGTTCACTTCTCTGACAGAACTCCGTTCTGTCCATCCAGATCCTTGGGCCCCGACTCAAGGGTGATGTTGCCAATAGCTTCATCAACACCCACGCACTCCGCCAGACTCCACGCGTGCACTCAAGCCCACTCGATTGGCACGTTCCTAACAGGATCCAGTATAGTACAGCTGAGGCATATATTCAGTGAACCCCTTTAGATCTTATATGAAGTGGTTACTTGCACCAGAATTGAGAAAGCATAGTGACTTTATGGGCTTTCATTCCTGGAATGTCATTGAGATATATGCTCTATCTGCAACAGATGCATCACATATGTACTCTTCCATTTCAAATGAGCTGAGATGGATTTCATCCTCATCAACCTTCTTAAGACTAAAGATGTCAAAGTCAGATATAGACAAAATGGTCACCTTCTCAAAGTCTAAGGATTCAGTACCAATATCAACATCTTCAAAATGAGATAACTCCTCATTTAGTGCTTTTTCAACTATCATCTCTTGGATAATATCCTTATTGCTAGATACAGTATACACTATAAATGTGATGTGAGGCACATGAGCAACTGTTAGGTTTGCCTGAGAAGCTACCATATTCTGTATGTTTAATAATGTGTTTGATAATGCATTATTTGTCTGATTGCTTTGTCTGTTTCTCCTAAAATTCTCAGAAAACTGACCTTTCTTTCCTCCACCAGGCCAGTAGCAGTCTGTGATATTATGGGTTAAATACTTATGAGCCTTGCAGTTTGGATTAGAGCACTATTTACTGGTAGATAGTTTTGTGTTTAGGGCAAAAGATGTGTCTGTCTTGTTAGAGTATAAGATAATATAGTCAGTCTGCAGAAGTGATATAATATCAACTGACATCTTGCACTGGTATAGAGAAGATACAATTGAGAGTCAGTTTCCATTGTGAGAAAGAGCATATGATTATTCCTCTGAAGTCTTTGTCTGTTAATTCCTGCCTGGTTTCAGACAAATTATCAACAGCAGTATACTTCATGAAGAGGTTCTGGATGTGGGCATTCATATTGGTGCCCTCTGTATACTTTATGTTCTGGAGGATCTGTTGAGCTTCAGATAGTGCCATATTGTTTTGAACAGTGTAAGTATCTATTATTGAGTCCCATGCCTCCTTCACTGTTTTCATTACCTTAAATCCTAATCCAATAGAGTCAGAGACATTGAGGATGATATGTGAGCATACATGAGAGTCACAGAATTTCCATTCATCATATGATGGTGTGGAGTCCAGTGGGAGTGGTGTGGTAGTCAGTGTTGTGCCTGTAGTCACTTGGGCAGTAGGCATGCATAGGATTGTTCCATCCACATATCCTCACAAGCCTTTACCACTGATAATTTCAGTGATCTTGACTTGCCAGAATGCAAGGTTCTTTCCATTGAACTGGGAGGCTTCAGGGAGTTGGATAATAAAAGGGCTCATTGTCAACATGGTTAGGGATTATAGTTTTTCATATAAATAGTTGTGGATGAATTGTACTGCATGTTCTCCTTGACTGATTCAGAGGCTAGGGCAGGGCCACATAACCTAAAGTGAGACAAACAACATAGTTAGAACTCAGTTGGCACAGTAATAATGAAATGACTGTATTGATATGACACTGTACCTAAAGTGAGACAAAAAATGTAGTTAGAACTAAGTAAATGAGTGAGTAAAGTATGTAGAGTATATGAGTTAAGTAAAGCATACCTCAATCAGTGCAGTAATAATGAAACAACTGAGGATGCAGATGTAACTACCAGGTATATGTACCTTCAGGTCAAAGTATAAGAGTATGGGTAAGTGAAATGGTCCATAAGGAATGGTGTACAGTATTAGTAATTGAGTTGGGAATGGTCGGGTGCATGTGTCTCATTCAACAAAAGAATGGAGTGCAATGAGTTCATGAACCGCCATGATTTGTCCTTTGACCATGATGACAGAGATAGCAAGAGCCAGGAGATGATGAAGCTGTGGGCAATGCATGGCTCACAAACACCTTGAATTAATATCAATGTGTCAGACATGTTTTCCACATATTAGATCCTCCCTGTTTTGTCGGGCTACAAAACAGCTGGCATTGGAGTAAGCAACCTGACTCAATAGCAGAAGATGGATTGACCCTCCTAGCAGCCAACCGCAGGGCCAATTGTCAGATTACTCATTGGTCAAGCCACAGACTCAAGATAGTACTGCCCCCTGTCTGTAGTTCTAAATGCTCCACCGAACTTATGTCTTCTGAGCACTTATCCATGGTTGCCCATACACTTGGATTTTCATCAGCTCTGAAGTCATCAATGTGTGGCGGTGAGTCCTCTGAGATGGTGCTAAATGAAGAACCTCAGGATCATGAAAGGATTTGAATGCGAGCACTGAATTTTGTGCAAAAGAGCATAGAATCGATTGATGGTCAAAGTGTCGGAAGGGACATTGATGACGACGACACCGCCACCTGAAACTTTTTTCGCAAAAAAAAAACATCTGTTGATAAAAACACATTTTATTCATCATTTATTTTGTGACGACGTCGTACCAATACATTTACCTCTGCAATTTGCTTGTAGGATACAGTTCCAAATCAGATACTTTAAACAGACGTTGTAATTCTCAGTCAGGGTATCCGCTCAGAAAATGGTCGCCAATGCGCCATCATCATACTTTCCACTTCCCAAACCACCCATTTTCCCGCCGGCCCCAGGCCCGTTCTTTCCAAAAGTAAAGCCAACCCATACTCCCCTTCCAAATCCTTCGTCCTTCTCCTTCACTTGTTCAACATTTCTCTGTTTCTCGCGGACCTCGGCGTACTTCGCCATGTCCTCTGTAGATGTGAAATCGTCATAGTAACCTGTATCAATTTCAGAGTCGAGAGCAGGTACAAATGGGGCGTCGACAGCACGCAGATCGTCCCATTTAACGCCATCAAAGAATGGGTGGCTGGAGACTTGCGGTAGAGTAGCGTACCGAACACTTGCATGGGAGAGTAGTCTTCGCATCGTTAGGGGCGAAAGTGCTTTATAACATGGCATTGATGAACATACCTAGTTACTGCATCCCAAGCGGTGTCTGTCAAGTTGAACACCAGGTCCTCTGGCTTGTCGTACTCGGGCCTGCGAAGGACTTTCGTCCAGTTCTTGAGATTGGTCCATGTTTCCTCAGGGTTGCCTCCGCTAAAAGGAGGAAAGCCGGCAAGGAATTCAAAGAGGATGCAGCCCAGCGACCAATAGTCAACGGAGAATGTGTATGGCTTGCCACGCAGGACCTCAGGAGCCTGCGGGGCAAGTCAATAAGGGGGGGTAAACGCTGTGGGTTGAGGGCAAACCATGTAATCGGGTGATCCAACTATGGAGTCAGCATAGCGGGGATCCTCATTACGGATAGAGCGATAGATAGAGCGACGTTCTAGAGTTGATCTATGGATGACTTCATTATCCTTGACTTTGTCGAGCTATAATAATATTATAGATGATTGCCGCATGGAACTGGTTGGTAAACTTGCCTTGGCTTTGAGAGACTCAATTCGTCGGGGATTCAGCGCACCGGTAGCCAATCCAAAGTCTGTCAGTTTGACATGTCCTGTGCCATCGACAAGGAAGTTCTGATGTACGTTAGCATGCCAGTTCAGTTGAGACCGCCATACCTCGGGTTTCAGGTCTCTATGAATATACCCCAGCTTGTGGAGCTCATTGACGCCGGCGAACATCTCGCTGATGTAGAATCGCGCATGTTCTTCTTTGAGAACGCCCGAGTTGTTGAGCAGAGTCCGAAAGTCGCCTCCAGGGACATACTCCATGGCGAGATAGACGTATTGGGGATCTTGGAAGGCGTAAAGCAGCTTGACGAGCCAGGGTGTCTTGGTAGCCGTCAAGATATCGCGTTCAACGAGAACGTGGCGGATCTGGAAGGTGTAAGCTCATATTGCCGGTGAGTGGCGGCAAACGCACCTCATCCATCTTGAACAGCGTCTTCTTTTTCATCTTTTTCAACGCGCAGACCTCTCCTGTCTCTTGCTTCCGAGCAAGAAACACCTCGCCATATCCACCTTGGCCAACCTGGGCAATGATATGGAACTGGTCGACACGAAGGTTGGTGCGCCGCCTACGGAGGAGCACGCGTTCACGACCACAGTAGCTCTTGAACTCTTTTGAGTACTCGGAAGGCTTGAGATCGCGGGCCTTGGTGTCCTGGTTGAACTTGACTCGCCGTTCTTTGCGGGCGGCAAGGTAGCCCAGCGTCTGGAAGTAATAATCCAGAAAATCTGGACAACGTGAGGATCATCTTGGTCACGACCGACGGCAAACGTACACAGTTGGGCAACAGTAGCCTTGCGTTTGACCTCTGCAGTATCGAGCAGCTCCCGCTCCCACAACTGAAGTCCGGGTTGTTTGATGGTCGATGTTCCTTTTGCGGTTTGCATGTTGATGTCATTTGAAAAAGTAAGCCCCTTCGCCGTGTTCATATGGATATCAAAACCTGATATGGATAATCCCTTGGCGGTGTCCATATGGATGTCGCAGTCGCGGTAGTATGAGAATCTGTCCGTACGTTCGGAAGGTAGACCGGAGATATGTTTCGTCTCCATGGATTACAGAAAAGGGCAAAAGAGTGTAGTGAGGTTGGCTGAGTATCACGAACGCCCGAGCACGTGGCTGCCCGTTGAGGCCGAAAGTCCGGTGCACTGTCCGGCAGCCTGTCCGGGTCCGATTGCTCAGCCAGAGAAAAATAGCTCTCTCCGATGGGCTCTGTCACACAGCCACTGCAGGGATGGAAATTTTGAGCAGATGGAGTTTGCAGTGAAATAGTGAAGTTGGTCAACTATGCTGGAATTGATCCATAGCTCCATAGCTACTGTAAGTGGAAACATCATCATATATACATGTTACATACATGCTGACAGCCTCTGCTCCATACCAACTTCAACTTAACCTAACCCAACCAAGTCACCAACAGATTCCACTGGACTCCACCCCATTATATCTATTATCCACCCATTTGATTTATCTTCTAGTATTTCACATTTACATTTCATATCACTGGTCTCTGACTTGGTAGGATTACATAGCATCAGATTCCATCAGACTCCATCATGGAATTAGCTACCAGCATATAAATCCTGTATTATCACTGTAGATAGTCAGTTTGAATATCAACTTGGATAGCTAATACCCTCTATACTCACTCTCACTCTTGTCTGATGAATTTCACTCCAAAGGACAACTTCTCCATCTTCTCTTCTTGACAGACTCCATTCTATCATTCTAACTCCTTGGGCTTTGACTCAAGGGTAACATTGCTAATAGCCTTGTTGATGCCTCTGTACTCTGCCAGTCTTCACATGTGCACTCAAGTCTATCCTATTGGCATGTTTCTAACAGTATATTTGAATTCAACTCTTTGAGTCAAAATTTTTCTATATCATGTCTATCACATTCACCCAACCCACAGAAGCAGATTCTGAACAAACACAGCCTATCTATTCCAACATGTTTTCTATGGAAGACATTTTAGCTTCTGCCTTGAAAGAGCAGTCAGATCTCTTCAGATTAGCTTCCAGTGAAGGACAACCCTCTCATAGAAAAACCTACACTCATTCCAGTTTCACTGCTCACCAACCTAGCTACAATGACTTCCCTAATTCTTTTGATGCCACCAGCATTTCATCTGACAGAGCCTGATGGACCAACTCAATGTGTGATGCTTGAAATGACCCTATTACAGACCTCTTGTCTCTAGGCAATATGCATGAAAATTCAGACAGCTCAGACTCTGAAGGTGAAGGTGATAATAATACCATCTACTCATACTCTCATCCATTATAGACCAGGCAGCAACTCACTAAACTCTTCTCTGAGAGACTCTAGCAGACCTGGTGAACCAGAAGAACCAGATGGTCCTGGCAGTCCAAATGGCTCTGATGGTTCTAGAGATAACAACAACCTAAATCAGCAGGATATGTTATAGAAATTCATGAACCTGCTATAAGGAGTTTTCACTTCTCTCGATAACACTAAGCCCACCACTATCTGCACTAAGGTCAAAGAACCAAAACCCTTTGATGGCTCTGACTCTCACAAACTGAAGGCCTTCATTGTCTCTCTTTAGTTAAATTTCAATGATAGATCTGTTGTATTTACAGTGAATATCAACAAAGTCAACTGCATCATCTTCTTTTCTGTCTGACACCATGCTCAACTGGTTTGAACCAGACATCTTTAATCTCAGAATCTATCAGCCTAGCAATTCTTCTACATGGCCTTCCTAAATAAGCTCTATAGCAAATTTGGCCTCTTTGATGCCATTGGGAATGCTGAAGATGCACTGGAGCATCTTTAGATATGTGATAGAGACCAGATCATAAAGTATATAATCTAATTCAATCAGTATGCATCACAGATCAGATATAGAGATAACTCTCTCTGCTATGCCTTCTACTGTGGCCTCTATACCCATATTAAGAACAACATGGCTCATCATGGAAAGTATAGCAATCTCTGCAACATGTGCTTTCTTGCTCAGGAGCTTGATGCTTGATACTGGATCCAGAAAACTGAAATTGCCTGCAAAAATTGAGACAATAAGGCTTCTAACCCATCCTCCAACTCCAAACTCAAGAGATCCAACACTTCTTCCTTGGTCTCTGACTCCATCCCCAAAACCACAGACTCCACCACCATTCTTAAGCTCTATGCTGATAAGCTAAGCAAGGATGGCATCTTATTTAGGAAGAAAAAGACTGCTGTCATCAGAACAACCTCTGTATGTTCTGTGGGGCCAAGCACAAGACTGAGAATTGCAACAGGCAGAAGGCAGCAGCCTCTGCCCTCTGTCAGGAGTTATGCAGCTGAAGTAGACATTGCTTCTGAGGAACTGGCTCCAATGGAATTGAAAAACTAGAAAGCAACTCTGTGTTAAGCCTAAATTCCACATGACCAATAACATGTGATAAACTAACAGAATCTTGCACTTCAGATTAGACTGTTAGAGTTCACTGATGCATTGTTGGCTGGTGTGATCAAGACAGTTGCAAGTCACTTGAGATGAGATGATGAAGAATAAACTTTAGCTCAAAGCTGGGGTTACTACAGCAAGAGCTATACTATTTAAATACTAATTTCTTATTGTTCTAAGAATATAACTATCTAATTGTCCTTGCTAGTGCTGTGTAGCACTTTGTCCAGCATTGCTAAGATACCTATAAAAAGTATTGTTCTGCTGTTGAGCTGTTACTGCTGTACAACTGTGGTTATTGCTGCACAATGATAAAGGAGACATGTCTATCATTGTGCTGCTGTGAGGCTTGCAGCAGCACAGTAGAATCTGGGCAGTGCTGCTGACTAAGCACTCTCACGATCCTAAGCACTCAGGTCTAGGTGCTCTGACTAAGCAGAAATAGGGGTCAATCCTGAATAAATCAAGGAAAAAAAAAAAGAAAATAGGAAAAATTGTAATATTACTCCCTCCTTAAGACCATTGTCCCAATGGCTAATTTAGAGATAAATCTGCCAGTCCATATGCAGTATCCACAGTCTTTTTCAGTCTTGCAGGTGATTGTGACTCAGCAGGGTATAATGTTGAACATGTCTTCTGTTGATGTTTCATTAGATTTATAATTTAGATAGACATATTTGCCTATATTCACCCTATTATTTCATTGTTTATAGTCATGTATTACTTCTTCTGCATCTATATATTTTTTGTTGACCTATTGATTTGATTCTGGACTATATCCTTTCCAGCTGACTAGATAGTCAACAGTTATTTTCATGCCTCCATCTTGCACCTTGATTTTTCAGTATTTGTGGTTTAAAACCTCATTGATTTTATAGTGTTCTTCATTGTTGATGAGTTCTGGTGGTGGTGGTGGTGGTTGTTCTTGGTTTGGAAAGGCTGGTGCAATATATAGTGTTAATAATACCTTATTGAAGATATTATGAACTTTCCAAGTTGCTGGTAACTGCAACCTGTATGCAGAGTTGCTGATCTTGGCAAGGATATTAAAGGGTCCTGTCCATTTGTCTGCCAATTTCTGTTTTGGTCTGAGGAGATAGAGGTTTATTGTATTCAGCTAGACTTTGTCATTGACTGAATATTCATAGGCTATTCTGCAATGTTTGTCATACTGTTTCTTCATAGTTGAAGCAGCCTTTTCAAGGGCTGTTTTCATTTTCTTATGGATATTTGCTATAGTAGTGGCAAATTCTATGGATGCTGATGTTGTTGTATGTTTTTGTTCACTTTGGGCTATCTGTGGATGTTGTCTATAGTTTATGAAAAATAGTGTTCTGCCAGTTGCTGAGTGAATCCTGTTATTGTGTTGGAATGCTGCTAGTGCCAGCTATTCCATTCAATCATCCTGTTGGTAGTTGATGAAAAGTTGGAGATACTTTTCAACTTCTTGATTCACCCACTCTGTCTGGCCATCTGTCTGAGGATGATATGCTGTTGAGGTGTTCCATTTGATGTTGAGAAGTCAGTACAAGTCATCCAGGAATTTGGAGATGAATTGTGATCCTCTGTCTGAAATCACTACTTGAGGCATGCTGTACTTTGTATAAACCTCATCTTGTAGGATTTTTGCCTATCTTTCTGATGTTAATTCTATTGAGCAGGTGATCAGGATGATTGCCTTTGAGAAGTGATCGACTATGACAATGATGGCATTATAGCCATCACTTTTAGAAAGTCTGATTATCATATCCACTGAAATGTGAGTCTATGGTGATAAAGAGACCTCATTCAGATGGAGTGAGATTGCTTGAAGTTGTATTGAGGCTTTATCACACTAACAGATCTTGCAAGCCTTGACATATCAGGTGATATTATAGTTTATTTTGGGCCACCAATATTCCTGTAGGATAAGCTCCTTTGTTTTAGCAATCTCAAGATGATCAGTAGTCATGTGATTATAATATGTGATGATGATATCACTATGAAGTTTCTGATCCCTTGGAATATAGATTCATTTATTGTAGTGGATCAATCCTTCTTCTTTCTTCAGTCTCTGCTCATGATTGAGAGATGGGGCTATTTGTTGATCCCACTTATGGGGATCTTAGGTAATACTCTTGATATACTCATGCACTTCCTCCTCCATAGGCATGATCATTACTCAGAAGTGTTCTGATCATAGGAGTATGATTTTCTTGTTGTCATCTCCTCCTTAGTTGTGGTTGGCTCTTTGGCTGAGGAAGTCAGCCTTTTTGTTTACTGCATCAGCCTTATAGTGCAATATGGATTCATATTCCAATAATTCCATGACCCATTAGGCTTGTTGGCAATTGAGCTTTTGGGAAAGTCAGAAGTATTGAAGGTTCTGATGATCTGTCCAGATCTCAAAGGTCTGGACTGCTTCAATGAGATAATGCCACTATTCAGCCAGAGTGAGCATTATAGTGAGGAGTTTCTTATCATAGATTTCATAGTTGCACTCTGTGACAGTGAGTGCTTTTGACAAAAAGGTGACTGATTGTTATTTGCCATCCTGTTCCTGAGAGAGAATCATCCCAATGGCACCCTCACTTGAGTCTGCCTCCACTTAGAATTTTCCATTTGAGTTGGAATTGCCAGGATAACATCTTCAGCTAATTGGTGTTTAAGATCATTAAATGCTGAT